CTGCTCCAACAGAGGGGCCCCACACAACACATGAAGGAACAGAGGACAGTCTCCAGTTAACAGTCAGCAAGCAACAGAGGCCTTTAATCCAAATGAAACTGAATCTTGCCAGCAACTGTGTGAGCTTGAACGTGATGCTTGCCCAGCTGAGCGTTCCAATAGGACCCCATCCCTGGCCTGCACCTTAACTGCAGCCTCATGAAGACCCTGGAGCAGAGGACCCAGCTAAGCTTGTGCCTAGACTCCTGCCCCACAGAAACCATGGGATAATAAATATGTGCTGCCTTTATAGAGCTCTCAAGTTTGGAAGGGAAGTATGGGCAGAAGCTAAAGAGTGCCACTCACTGAGTGGTTGGCCCTCAGAGATAAGAGTTCATGCAGGGTCCCATTTACTACTCCCAACAACTGCGGAGATCAGAGCAATTATTACTTACCATCCTGTTTCACTTGCTAGCAAACACTTAGGGGGTAAAGTGGCTTGCTCAAGATCACTGTGCTGCGTGACAGAGCTGTCTATATACCCAGCACTGTTGTGTCATTCAAACTGTGATGCTGTGCGTTGTGTGGATGCAGCAACAGATCTCTGCTATGGTCAGGGGACAGGGGACTGGAGCAGGGCAGGCACCAAGGAGAGGAAGGGTCCATCTCTCCAGGCAGAGGGGATGAATTATGTGTGGGGACTAGGGACACTTGGAGCATCCAAGTGGTTGTGGGTTTGACCTGGCAGGTTGGTATCATATCACACAGGTCATTTTGATTATTTGGATAGGATCCTATAGGCAGATGTCATCCTACAAACCATTGGATGGTATTGGGCAGGGGGTGGCATGGTGAAGTTTGCATTTTAGATGAATCTTCTAGGTGGGGCTGCCCTCTTGGTGTGTCCCCAGCCTCCTGCACACAGCATGGTAAAGAGTAGATGCTCCCCCCATGTTTGTAGAATGAATGATCCATCATAGACCTTTGTCCACTCGTGTGACTTTGTGGTATTCTCAGTCCATCACACCCTGAGGAGCTTGAGGGGAGCATGGTCAGAGATGGGACGTGGAGCTCAGCCTCACTTCCTGACCTCTGGGACTGCAGAGCTAACACAGGAAGGTAAGGCAATCCTGGAACTCTGGGGCTGGCCCCAACTCTGGCCTTGGTTGATTTCCACAGTGTCCTGGCTAGAAGCTGGGGCAAAACAGAAGATACTCCGAGGCCTCGTGAGCTGTGTGCATTGCCTCCCCTCCCCAGGAAGGTGGTACCCCCTTCATAGCCTGGTGATGCCGGTGGATAGAAGAGGACAGACAGATGGAGAACTGCTGTACAAGGTCTTTTTTCTTTGTTGTCATGGTTGGTTTTGTACATTTTAGCATTTGTATCATACAAAGGGGGGAGCAACAGCCATGGCTTTTGGTCAGGTTCAGGGGGGCATGAGGGTGTAGCTCTCCCCTCCCCCCAGGCACTGACACATTTAAAGGAAGCAGAGCAACAGGGACACAGCACAAATGTGGGAAAGGGGTTCCCCTGTGTGAGCAGGATGGTCCATCTCACCTGGGCCTCATTGAGATGCCACCTCAGGGCCAGCAAAAGCGCCTCCATTCTCTCCCAAGTGAAGAAGGTGAGCAACAGGAGAGGGGACTGGGGCAGGGGACATGTCCTCAGACCTAGATGACACCCCTCACTGGAGCCAGTCTAAACCCAGCCTCCCATGCAGTCGGGAGCCTGCAGAGCCCTAGAAAGCTGGAATAGTGGGGCTGTGATGTGAACTGGGTGCTGGGGACTCTTGGAGCTGGGGAGTCCCCCCATTTTACTCTAGCTGCTTTGCCCACCAGCTGCCCAACCTGTGAGGGGCTCTGAGCTGCAATACTTATGTCTCTCTCTCGCATTTTCTCACTTTCTCTTTCTCTCTCACTCCTGGAACTGCCTCTCGACTCCCCACTTTCATTGAAGGAGTACACCATGAAGCTGTGCACCATGACACACGTTCTGTGGGCACTTCTGGACCCAGAGTGGAAGATGTCCACTTTGGAAATCCTGGCTTCTCCTAAGGGTCCAGTATAGAGAGAAATAGAAGCCCTCTTCTTTCTCTCTGGCAGTGAATCCCAGGGGAGGAGCCTGGTGGCCTTCCCGGAAGACAACTTGTGCTCATGTGAGTGGTACATGCTCCCTTCTGCCTAATTCTGTCTAGAGCCACCTACCAGTGACTGCTCCTCCTTATTCTCCTTTGTGGATCATGTGTGTGTGTGAATTCTGGGGCCCTGGCCCCACTCAGTGTGTCACAGGCACACTGCTTCATTTCTGTGTGACATGACTGTCTTTCCCCATCCCATCCGGTAGATCACACACATGGCCTGCCCCAGGAGCATCATGGGAATATCCTTATCTTGCTGTAGCATCTCATGTGCATTTGTTCCCCTCATGTGTGTGTTGTACACAAACCTCCTCTTAGGGACACCCATTGGCTTCTTCCCACAGTCAGGTCTGTGTCAAGAAATGACAGTCATTGTATCCATCTGGACCTGACAGTGTGGAGCCAGGCAGGTACGTGCCAGGCAGAAATTCTCCCCTTGCCCTGCCTCCAGAAGACCTCAAGTCCTATTGCCCTGGAAGTAGAATGGAGGAGCCTGGGAGGTGCACCCAGACTAAGCCAGCCCAGCCTGGAGGGCACAGGTGGGGCGGAAAAGCCCTAAGCCCACTCCAGGGATCCAGAGGAGCTGTGGAGGCCACCAGGGACACTCAATCTGAGGGTCTGGGGTCCCTCAGGCCCACCTGGGATATCGTGTATGGCTGGACTCCCTTGGTTGTCTATAGCTCCCTGGGCCTTGACTTGACTTACCCATCTAGTACTCTGTGTCCTGGCATCACCTTTGAGGTCTGAGGGTCCCTGCCAAGGTGGAGACCTCTTTTAGCACTGGTATCCACCTCTGTGTGCAAGTCGGACTCACACACAAGGTCTAGGGAGGCCTGGGACCCCCGGACTGGGCCCTGTCTGTCTCTGGCCCAGGACCCCAGGACTCTTGAGAATGACCATCCTGCTCAGAATAAAAGACACAAACAGACAAGCAGACAACAGGGGTGCGAGGTGGCTCCCCATCACAAACAGAGGCACAGACAAAGACACTGGCCCCCTAAGGGACCTGACACCAGAGGCACAGGGGAGGGGTGGGGGAGGAGGGTAAGTCCCAGGTGCTGGAGCTGCTGAGGCCCAGCTCCCCAGAGAAGGGGCAGACCAGGGGACTTTTCTGGTTCCCTAAACATATGGATTGTTTTGTCTCATCTTTAAAGTATTGCAGTCTAACTGATATGGCTTTAACTATTGGAAACGGACAGAGAAGACACCTGTCTGTCTCTGAAATAAAAGCATAAATCCACTAAAATGGAAAACCCACAGATGCAAAGTGGGGCCGGTGGGACAAGGGCTTCAGGGGCAGGCAAGTCGCCCCCTCCCTGGCCCCTGCTTTGGGGATAGACCCTGGTTGGGGCCTAGCATGGCTTCCTGGGGCACTGCCTGGGTCTGTCTCAGTGGAAATCTGAGGACCTCAGGCAGAAACCCCCCAAGGGCGAGAGGATTCTAGGCCAAGGACAAAGTCTCCTATTGAGTGTGGCAACCTGTGACCAGTGGTCTTAGGGCTGAGAGGGGCATCTTACTCAACTTCTCTCTGTCTAAGGGCACATCCATGCACACAGCTACCTTTTTAGACCTCCCACACGTGAATACCACAGTCTTGGTACATCTGACAGTTTCTCTCAAACACACACTTTTATGATATCTAACACGTACCCATTACTCCTGACACATGCCATTTTAAAAACACATGCATATACACACTAACACACCCGAGATGGTTAGCACACACTTAGGACACAATCACCTACCATCTCAAACAAACACCCATACTCAAGGTTGCCTCATGGAATCTGTAACACAGCTATGATGACTAACATACATACATGTAATCTCAAGACACACCACACTCTAACCATACATAGATGGAAAAAAATCTCTGGGCATACAGTTGCTGACACAGCCTCTGCTACACACCACCATGCATGCATGGAGTCACACTTTCTTCTTTCATTTTCTCCAACCCTGCCACCCCATTCTTATGCAACTGACAGAGCAGGAAGCCTTGACAATCTGGGGTATGGGGACAAATGCCAGTCCCATACGTCCCAGAGGAGTATTTGTTCTTGGCCAATGGGATGAATAAACAGATGCCTCCTGTCAAGTGGGAATTGACTTCTCCCCAACAGCTCGGGGCTTTGACCAGGAAGGGTCCTCCTGGGGACCATGGGGCCTTGGAAGCACATGGACAGGAAAGGGTGGAGGAGAGGGGTGGATAGGAATGGGGGCAGTTTGGCTGCACCAATGGGGGAGGTCCCATGGTGTAGACCATCACTGCCCGATGGCTCCAAGTGTTTTCTGGGGGCCTGGGCAGCCCCTTGGCTTGGCAATCTGGGCCTAGCCTGGCAGTAGGGTCCCAGGACCTAAGTGGGGTGAAGGCGAACAGGGGTTACCCTACCCTGGGGCTCCTCCACCGATGTGCTCAAGTCCAAAGAGGATCTATTTGGAAGGACCAGCCTGGCAGGGGTGGGTTGGGAAAGGGTGTGCTTCTGGGCTGGGTGTCACCAGGGAGAAGGAAGAGGAGTACTCCTGCCTCCTGCCCAGATCTTAGCCAGGCCAGCCTCCAGGCTCTTGGGCCAAGTCCTCATGGGACAGGCTTACCCTGACTCCCTTCTCAGAGTCAGGCCACTAAGTGTCCCTACCCTGACCTGGAGGCTGTCAGAGACCAAAGGTCAGCATGCCGGGCAGGACTGGAATGTGTCATTACTTTGGCTGGCTGGGGACAGTGGTCCTCCTGGCAGTGGGGAGCATGAAGGAATGTATGGGGGTTACCACTCTCACGTAGTATTTCAGAGGGGGACCCAGTGTGTCTTTGGCTCTGGGTTTAACACCCCCTGCTGGAGAGAAGTTGTCCTCTCTTTGCCAAGCTGCTTGGGAGTGGGGTGGGACTGGATACTCTGGGATGAAAGAAGGTGTAAGGAGTGCTGAGGGGAGGAGCCCCTGGCCAGGGAAAGGGGGCAGAGGCCAACTGAGGTTTTCCCCTTCAGAACTGAAGACTTAACTGAATAAAAAGAAAAGAAAGAACAAAAAAAATCGTAACAAGTGGAGTGGGGATGGGCAGGAAGGCCAGTTACTTCTTGAACATGTCCTGCAGTGGCCCGGGCAGGTATTTGAGCACCGTGTCCAGGATGCTCTCCTCTTCCTCCTCCTCCTCGTCCCCGCAGCCTGCAGGGATAGCCTTCTTGGGCCTGGTCAGGCTCCCCTCGCAGGGCTGTTCGAGGGCTGCCTTCTCCTCTGCCTCCTTCTCCTCCTTCTTCTTCAGCCCGTACTGGGGAGAAGGGCAGAGGAGCATGAAGTGAGGTAGGGGGCAAGGAGGGAGCTGGCTTTCTAGGTCATGTAGACTTCAGTGACATGGCTCCATAAGCCTCTGGGTCTTCGTCATAAAGTGGGGTTAAGAGTAGGTCCCTATAGTAGTTAGTGTTCTTGGTCACCAGCAGGTGATTTAATAATAGAGAAACCGTGCCTAGTGTTTCCTTTAAAAGTCATACCTGCCCATTATAACTTCTTGCTCTTTTGAAATCCCCAAAGATCTGAACACTAGAAGTCGCCCCGTATATTGGGAGCTACATTTTGGTGAACCAAATGGAAGACTATTTGGAGTCCTGATTTGTTGCATGGTGCTACCAGACATGCATTAAAAACTGTTTGGCAGAGGGTGACAGTCCCAGACCTCCTGGGACTGATTCCTAATTACAGTAGAATTTTCTCTTAGGTGAAATTTCTGGATTCCATGCATATTTGGCCCCACGAGCTCGGGAAAGAGACTGTGGACCTGTAGCACTTACTATACGCATTATCTTATTTAAGGGAAGGAGGGAGGTGTTTTGGTGACACCCATTTTTTCTGAGGCGGAAGAAGGCTTATAGAGAACGAGGTCTAAGCTGACAGTTGATTGAGATTGGAAGATCTCAATCAGGGGACCGGTTTTGCAGTTTCTTGTCCCCTAGTTTTCCAGGGATGCTAACCTTGTCTCGGATCTGCTGCCGGACCTTTTCGCGCTCCGCCTCCATGCGCGCGTGCTTCGCCTTGCGCTCCTCCTCCTGCTGTCGCAGCGCCTCCTGCCGCTCCTCCTCCTTCTTCTGCGCGTCCGGGTCCTTCTCCTCTTCTCCCCCTAGCATCTTCCCCATGTCCTTGGTGGCCCCTGCGGGAATGCGATGGGGAGGGCAAGGGCAGGATCAGTTGGGGGACCAGGGTTGAAGAGAGAGGCCAGGTGAGCTGAGGTCCCCTCCCACCTGCATCAGGGGTGTGTGATGCAAGGAAAGGTGGCACAAGTCTCACCTCCGAGGGCTTGCTTCATGACGAAGTCCATGCTGCCGGCTCTGGTTAGTGCGCCCTAGTGCACGACTGAATTTGCATGCAGCGCACCTGGCTGGCCCGGCTTGGTGATATGTGCCGACCTGCAAAAGAGGAGTGATGGCCCAGATGAGAGAGGCCTTCCCAAGAAGGATGGTAGTTCAACATATGGCACCCTCACCCAGGTTCCAACCTGGGCACCACCCGGGTCAGATGGGAGAGAAGATGGAAGAGCGCTATTAACTCTATACCTAATTATGTTATTTATCAGCATATATGAGCTGCTGAACAGCTTCTGGCACCCTCCCCCACTTTTTTTGGGCGATTCTGGGATTTGAACTCAGGGCCTTGCACTTGCTAGGCAGGTACTCTAACCACTTGGTCCACTCCTTTAGCCCTATTTTAAAACATGGTTCCTATTTTAAAACCTTCATCTTGACCGCACTGTTCTAATTTGATTGAGGTCAGGAGTATTGCAATGAAACTGAAATTTGGAGTCAGGCAGAGCTGTGTTTTAATGCCACTCTCATTCATTATTTCCCATGTGACCTTTGGCAAACTGCTTAACCTCCATAAGCCCCCAGTTTCCTTCTCTCTGAGTCAGAAATGGCAAAGCTTCCCCTCCCAAGGCTACTGTGGAGAATGGGAAGCAACCAGCCTCAGCCTTGGCTTTGATTTTTTTTAGGCAGCACTAGGGTTTGAACGCAGGGCCTCACACTTGCTAGGCAGGCGCTCCTACTGCTTGAGCCACTCTTCCAGCCCCAGGCTGGGCCTTGGATGAACCCACAAAAGAACTGAGCATGTGCTAAGGGCCTTGGCAAATCTGAGTATGTGAAAAAATGGGTACAGCCAGTGTGGATGGATGTACCCAGACTTACGGAAATTAGACAAATGGAGAAGTAAGTTATTTTTACTGCAGCATATGGGTAAGTTTTGTGGTTTATAGCTTAATATTGATTTTTATTTTGAATTACACATGGGGCATTGGAGACTTTGTTCTTGGGGCTTAGGGACTTTAAAGTACTTAGCACAGGCCTTGGAGGCACTGTGTTAATGTTACCCTTCTGCCCTCCTCCCTAAATCACCAACTTGCTGTTTTTATCATATTTTTTATTGTTTTTTTTTTTTTGTCTCAGAAGATTTTCTCCAAATAAAATCTTAATAGGGATCTCAATATGCAAAATATGTAAAAGTGGAACTATTCCAGTGGTGGTCATGGGTAAGGATAGAGGGCCTGGAGACTACGGCTGGCCCCCCTTTCCACACACACCCCCGCCCCCCGCTTCCCTGAGAGTGCGAACCCTGCTGCTCTAACTCTTAGAGCTGTACTATTTTAAACACTCCGTCTCACTGGTTCTTTAACAGATGAAGACACTGCAAATCTCTTTTCCAATGCGGATAGGGACACCCATGAGCTGTCCACAGTGTGATGTAGCTTGATGGTCAGCTGAAGCCAAGTGTCCTCCCCAGCCTTGAGGTCGTTATGACTTTCTAGGAAGGAAGAGGGGTCCTGGGAAAGGGTGGTAGAGAAGCAAGGCTGGACATCTATCATAACAGAGTTGAGTTCAAGGCCAGTGGTTGTTCCTGGATGGGTTTTCCTCATTTCTTGAGAAATCATATTGCCATTTTTTTTTCATAATATGGAGCCCAAGAGCTTATCTACATGTTCAAACTACCTGATAGGTTGTTTTTGGTAGAGAAAGTCATGCCATAGTAGGGGGAAGAATCTCCAGGGGCTTTTGGCATTAGACACACTGGTTCAAAACCCTAGCCTTAATACTGTCTGTGAGTTCTTGGCAAAGCTTCAGTTTGTTACTTGCAAAGTGTGTGTGTGTGTGTGTGTGTTGTGTGTGGGGGGGGAGGAGTAAGGCACTTTTGTATTGATGCTTGAAGAAGAAAAGAGAAAGTGCCTAGAACTTCCTCTTATTTACAAGCACTCCATTTAAACCAAAAAGGAGCCGGCTTTCCAGGAAATTCAGGAGAACCCACCCTGCCCCAGAAATCTGAGTTTGAAGCTTGCTCAGCTTAGTCAAGATGTTTTCAATTGATTTAAGACCTTGGGAGAAGACTTCCTTTCTAAGAACAGGAAATGAACAATGTAATAATCAAGTGATTTCAGGAACTCTTGAGTTGCTACTCAGTGTTTACATAGAGCTCAAGGAATTACCAGGTGGTGGAAGATGTAGGACTCTAATTTGAGATGTTTCAAATTGGTAGGCAAGACACCTGCGCTTTAATTCCAGCCTCCTGCCTTACTTGCTGCGTGACTCTGTCGAGTGTCACTGGGACCAGATGATGTTACAGGACCTTTTCCCAGCTGCTGCTATTGGAGCAATTCTGCAGCCTTTGAACTGCTGACCTCCCCATGGTACGCGCAAACCCTCTCCCCTTTTGGTTCTGTAATTCAGCTCTTTCCTGCTCCCCCATCTCCCTTCTCTCCTTCCTTTTATCTCCTCCTCCCCTTTCTCTCCCTCTTTCCTTTACTGGCTCCTATTTTCCTTCTGTCCTATATAAACTTGTTCCTAAACCCTTGCCTCTTTTTCTTTCTAATCTCTCCCTTGGGGAACTCATCCATTCTGGGAATTTTCTTGGGCTCTGACACTGAGAACATCTAGATCTGTTTTCCGGGCTCCAGATCCCCACATCCATTCATGGAACATGCATTAACTGACAGCTACTATGTGCTAGTTGGCATGTTAAGTGCAACATTGAATTCAGAGAGACGAACCTTGACTTCCTACAGATTGCATTCTAAGGTGTTGTCTGTGTGAGTGTGGGTGAGTGCGTGCATGTTGAGAAATGGGCAATAAATAAGTAAAGAAATGCTCTTGTCTTCTCTTGGACACCTTCCCCTGGGTGTTCTGTAGGTGCCACTCACGCTCAACATGCCATTTCTCTATCACCAAACAATCTCCCTCTCTAGACACCTCTGCTTTCGTGCATTCATTCAGCAAACATCAATTACCACAGCTACCCCTCCTCCAGTTTGCAAAGAACATCTATGTGAGGATGGAGTCTTCCCAATGCTCCAGGTAGTTCCTAGGAGCTTCTTGAGTCTATCCCAAAGTCTCACAGCCCCCTCAGCCAGTAAGCAATCTTTTGTTCATTCAGTTAAGATCTTCTAACCAATTCTCCATTTTTCAAGGCTCGGCCTTCCTCACCCTTCTGTCTCAGCAGGTGACTTCTCTCCGTGTCAGGTGTGCAGGGAAAGGGCAGAAGCTCTGGGGTCAAGTGCATCTGGCTCTTTCTAGCTGTGCAATAGGAACTGACCTGAGTTCTTAGGAATGGGTCCTCTCCGTACAACGAAGCCTACACTACCACTTTGAAGGGTTACAAATCATCTCTGGGCTGTGTTTGGCACATGACAGGTGCTCAGCAAATGGTGGCTATTACGAAAATGATAAATGCCAGCTAGTGTGAACTCCTGCAACCTCCCGTCTCCCAGCTCCCCAGGGAGCCCCTCCTTTTGGCTGAAGTCAATCCATGTGCCTGTGCTCTGGATTGTTTCTTGTATCTCCTTCTAAATCCACTCACCATCTTCCTTCTTCACATCTTCTGTGTCCTCTCTATATGTCTCTTTGATTCGCTCCCTTCTCCAGTTCCTTCCCTGAATCTTTTCCTTATAGCATGATGGAGAGGTCCACACTCCTGTGCAGCCCCTTCACCTCCAGAGATCAGCAGCCTCTGGACCACCCCACAACTGCTCTAAGCATAGTCATCAGGAGGTCTCGGAAATGCCAGACCAGGAGTGTTTTCGCAGTTCCCCTCTTCCTCCTCTGTCCCTCTATGGTGTCAGAAGCTGAGGGTGACTCCCTCCCCCCTTATCAGCCTTCTTAAATGAATCTCCTTCTGAATTCCATGACACAGCATTCTTGTGGTTTCCATCCTCCTTCTCAGGTAGGTCTTCCCTCTCTCCTTTCCAATAAAACGGACATGTTCTCAAAGCAAACTCTCCCTTCTCCCCCTTTCCACTGCACCTCCTTTTCCCACTGTCACCTTCGGAAATCTCATATTGGTTTAATGCCACAGATTAAATATAAATACACATCCTCTCCCAAACCTATACATTTAACTCTTGCATGATTGTTGTATGCATCACCTCCAATTCAGTTGGTCAAAAATTAATGTCACCCTTGTCTCCCACCCAACCATCTTTTCCAAAGCAGAATAAAGTCTGCTTTGTTCTGAATGCTTCAACTAAAGCCTCTGTGAGTTCTCTATTCACTTACTCACTACATACTTTGAGCACTTACTCTCTGCCAGGCATTGTGGCAGAGAAGGGGATTCCCTTACTTGCTCTATAGCATAGAGTTGGCTGGGGAGGGTAGAAACTGCACGCAGGAATTGGTGAGTATAACTGGGTGGGGTTCAGGAAAAGAGGCTGTAGCTTCTCAGTGCTTCCTGCATCCTCATCGTCCTCTCTCCCTTTGCTGCTGATGCCTTGGTTCAGGGTCTAGAGGTTCTGGATTTGTGCATAACCTAGCTGTCCCTCAGCTCCTATCCACCTTTCCCCATGCTTGTCCGATTAATCTTCCTAAAGGGCAGATCTGCTCATGCAAACATACCCTGAAATGGCTCCCCATGGCCCTGCTAAACCACCCAGAGTCCTTGTGCCGACCTTCAAGTCCTGTACAGTCTAGCAACTGCCTTCTTCGTCTCTCTTTTCCCACCCCCTGCACGTGGCTCTGTTTCAGCCAGACCCCCTCCCCTTGCCCTGAGCATTTGTGCTTGCTATTCCCACTGCCTTAAGACCTTAGTCTCATCTCTGCTGGTTCAAATCCTGGCTCTCCTACTTACTAAGCGACCTTGAGCAGGTGACGCAGTTAACGCCTAATGTCTAAGGCTTGTTGCCAGCATTAAGTGATACAATAAAGTGCTCAGTCCTCTGCCTGACACATAGTAGGTACTCAGTACATTTTAGTTGTCATCATTATCCTCAGCAGCAGTAGTATTCATATTCAAAGATCCCTGTCAAACATCACTGTCCATGAAATTTCCCGGATCTCCTTGACAAGAGCTGATGGTGTCATTCTCTTCCTTTTCCAAGACCCATGGCACTTCCTAGGGCAGTATGGCCTGCTTTAACTCATTCATGCCCTATTTG